GAGGCCAACAAACTGCGCCTGTCGCACAAGTTGCTCGGCCCAGTATGAGTTAGCATCAAGGGAAAAGGACACCGATTCTGCGATTTGTGATCTTCTTTGTCGAAAAAGCCAACCACATACCTGCGCGGTGGCTGCACTTCGAGTATATCGCTTCAGAAAGTTGTAGACAACATCAATCCAGTCAATATGCCAGATTCGCTGGCTTTGCTGCTCGTCCAGCAACAAGGGAGGAAGCAGAGGAGTGCCTTCCCTTCGTCCTTGCTGCACTTGGAGGTATGTAATTGCTGGCAGGCAATCTACCCATCTGTCTACTTGCATCAGGCAGGTTTGATCATCTACAAACTGTTCGTCGCGCACTTGATCTCTGTTATCTTGCTGAGCCTCTACTTTCAGTTGCAGGAAACTACCATCTGGAAAATTGAGGTACTGACCCCAGTGAATTTGATCAGTTCCTCTTTCAATCCAACATATGGCAGAAGTGCGACACTGATGATCCTTCACAACAACATCGAAGATGTGATTAACTTTCGGTCGGCCATCTTGGAAACAAACCCGTACAGTGCCAAGCAAAGAACGGACAGGACTCTGCACAAGATACAACCTACTTGGACCATCGCTTTCAGCTGTGGCCAAAAAATGCCATTCCATTTCGAGCCCAGGCATGACTTGCAATGGGACTACTCTGACCGGTCTACCATAAATCTTATGCCTCCAGCTTTGGTGGACTTGACATGCCACACACTCATCACCTCTTTTGTGTAGATGTTTGTAATCACGAAGGAACTCTTGAACGCGCTCCTCTTCATGAGACCAAGCAACATAATTCCACATTTCATGCCTCTCACGTCCTTTTTTGACAGCCATGGAAAGCAGGTTCGCTGATCTATGCCTACATTCCAACCTTTGCTGCATGGCCATCACAATGTCTCCATCTTCAACTTCTGCATTCTGCCGAAATCCACCTTGGGTTGCAGTGTTGTCCCAGTGGTGCTGATCATACCGCCAGCCACCTGTACAGTTGCATTCCCTTTGATCATGGATTCTTAGCAAAAAACTTGTGACCATCTTGAACCGGAAGCTCCTCCCAATATTCAGTCTGGTCAAAGGAGAGCTGACAAGCGATGCTTGCACGCTGACAGAATTCTTCTTCTCCAATCTGCCGCAGTAAAAGCTGTTTCCCTCCCGTTCTTGGGAAAACCATGCTCTTCCTTTCCATCGCATCGTCAGACTCAATACTTCTTTTTATTCTGTGGATGATGACAAGAATATGTGCCTGCTCACCTTGCTGTTCAGCCCGAATCATCAGAAACAGGTGATCAACCCCATTTGCCTCCCATGGAGTAACCATTGGCCAAACAAGTTCAACCCAGCATCTTCTGTGGACGCTGACGACTTCCCATAAATGATAACGCAAAATTGCGCTACAATCTTTTTGGCTACTGGTTTGCCACCATTGCGTGAGGAAAATCGGTATCTCAACTTGATGGCTGACACTGATGATCATGAGTGCAACTGGTACATCAAAATCAGCCCACATCGCTTGAAGCTCTTCTTGAATGAGATTGAACTGCTTGATCTCTGTCACGCGCAGTGCCTTCTCAGCGAAAAGCTCGAAGTGCTTCATTGCTGGCTCGTCATGAAGACCAACAGCAAATACTGCATCACTGTCGATGGAAGCCGAAAAGGTCTGACTTTGCATCATCACATTCTCTTCATACACGTCGTCTCCATCATTTGTAGGGGTTGCAGTGTTATCCCAATATCAGAATTGTTAGCGTTCACAGCCATTTCATCTGCACCAATGCTTTGGTCACTGATCCACGTTCCAATGGTGTCACACGTACTGCTGACGCTATCTCCTGTCAAACACTACCAAAACAGTAGCACTGTCATGCAAAAGGAGCTCCTGCCCCCAAAACATCACGTTCCTTCCTTGTGTGACCGAACAAGTCCAATCCACATCACACTGACGCTGTGGGTACACTTTGTCAGTCAAGACTTGAACATTTGCACTATCCAGATTGCGTCGCCGAATATGCGCACCTACAACTTTGACCAGGAACGCCGAGACTGGAAATTGTGACCGGGTATGCAGGATGACTTGCTCACCACGAACGGGAAAACCTCCTGCTTTCACCAAGGAAACTTGCAGTTCTGCCTGACTTGCCCATTGTGCGAATTCCTGCTGCAAAACTGCAAAAAAACATTTTCTTGGTTTCACAAGAACGAACTGATGCATGGCTACAAAATGCGCTCCACTCAAGTGATGACGCTTCCAAACTTTCACTGCCCTAAGTCTGTCCGCAGCGTCAAGTTGCTTTTGGAAAACTTGACTGACACCTGGGTGAGATTGCATCGTGCAGCTAGCTTCCTCTTCTTGGACCTGAGTGTACCAATGACCAACCGAAACATGTTCAGCACACAACCCTGCCACTTCCAAGGAATTGGGTGACCAACCAAGGTATGCTTCTAATCCGCGTGTTTGAAGACCTCGCGGCACCCATCTAAAATTCACGTCAGCAACCAAGATAGGCAGCATATCAAAGTCTCGCTGCCTTGCCACATCAACTAACATGACCGTGTATTCAAGAGTCGAAGGCTGGGGGGCAACTGGCCACACTTGCCATTCCGTGCTTGAGTCAGTCAAGAAGTTTGGAATGACCAATACTGGCCAATCCATTCTTTCCAGCTGGCTTCTAGGTTGCGCTGTCCTCCATGTTTCTTCTTCTGAAACAACGACCAATTGAATATCATCATTTGCAGAACCAACTTGGCTAGTTCCACTAATCCACGCTGCGTGATTGGCAAGAGTAATGTTCCTACTATTACCTTGCACATTGATGTCATATGTACTCCCTTCAACGCCACTCATTTCTTCAACAGGGCGCACAGGCGAAGGACTGACTTCGACTATCAACAGGTAAAGCGGCACAACAGTTCGCACCATCTTCGGTTTGATGATGCACGGAACTCTGGCCTGTTACCTGCCTCCTTTGACCATGCAAAGCTTTTTCCTTCTGCCACACTTTGCTCTTCGGCAAAAAAGGAACAACTTGACAAACACTGAAAACAGCGCTGCAATTCCAGAGAGGATGTCAAATGCCATTTTCCCTTTTAGAATCCATGCGTGCAATTCAAGCAATTTCGCATGTTCATGGGCTCTGCGAACATCTTTCTGGCTTTGATTTCCCGTGCCAAACAGACCATCCTTGCCATGGCCAACTGCATCGAGACAAAAGCCGATCGCTTCCTTTTTTCCGTGGCTCCAATCAAGCAATTCAAGATCGAACAAATGCGCTCTGGAATCGGCTCGAAAGGCCCACAATGGGCGGACAATGCTAGCTTGTGAAAAACATCCATTGCAATCCCACATGCTTCATAAGCATTAACCCAATTCTTCCCTGGGTTGAAAATTGGAAAGAGGACAAAATAGAAAAGACTCGAAACAAACCATAGCGGCATGCTGACGTCAGCCTTAAGCGGCGCCATCCAACAGCCATTGCTAGCTTGATCCACTTTGCTCCCTGTGCCCTACCACCAAAAACCTCCTACTTGCCCTCTCCATCTTGCCCAGAGTGATCGAATTTTGGCTTCTTTGACAAGTTCCCTGCTTGCCCTTCGTTCCTTTTGCCAGCTGACGCCGAAGCTCCTCGTGAAAAGGGCTTTGGACTTGGCAATCGGCCCTTCACCATGGAATCGTCTAGTAGTTCCTCGTCCGAAATCGGCTCCACCGGATCCGGAGGGATGGTGTACCCGTCTTCCATGATACCCTCTTGTGGAACATCTTCTCCTTCCATCAAGCTTTGGGCCATTGCTGATTGCCTCATAGCATCCTGCAATTCTTTGAGCTTTTCTTTTCTTGTTGAAAGCTCCTCCATTGCTGATGCTCTCTGTTCTACATATGCTGCTCTTTCTCGATCGTATGCCGTCTTCAGGGTCTCGGCAAAGAATTTCCACTCTTTGTCCACTTCCAAAACGGCTTCCTTTGCTTTGGTGTACTGTTTTTTTGCTTGCGCAGTTTTGTTGAGCACACCGTGAATGATCTCTGGTTTCGCAACCAATGAAACATTGGCTGCTTCCATGACCTTGTCTTCTATCTCCTTTGTGTACGCTACTCCCAACGTACGTTTGAGATCTTCCAGCTTTGCTTTGACCTCTGCAACCACTGCAGGCGGTGCAGGAGGAATTTGCAAATCTGGTGCTGGGGGAATTGGCAATTCTTCCCCAGTCTGTTTGGGTACACTCAGCCTTGTCGTGGGTGTACCTTTCATCCAACGAACGCCAGGCGATTCTTTTGGTGTTGGCCTTCTGCTCGAGAAGGGGGTCAATGCCCACACATCTTCTGCGCCTTGGCTCTTTTGATTCTTCATCTGCTTCTTTGTACTCTCTTCGGCTTTGCCTTTTCTTGGCTTTGATCTCGATTTCTGGCGCAACACCGACTGCCACCATCCTTGGCAATGGTTGCAGTATAGCGTGCTCATCGACATCTGGATCCAGCACTTTCTGCAAGTCCAGTTGCTTTGCCTCGACATTCCTGGAGCTCGAGACCCGTGGTGAATATTGAGCCTCTTCCGTCGAAAAGGCTGAGAAACAGACACCCGAAGAAAGCAGTCGCCGCCAAAAGGTTTACCATGCAACGGCAAACAAAGGCGGGTAAGGTTGCTCGCTGAAAAAGCCACTGGGGGGGCACTCCCCAATGACCTCACGGAGCCTTCGGGTGGCCTCCACCCAAATCGAAGGCCTTTTGCTGCTGGTAGATGTAGCGATGCCTCGGCTCTTTTGCGCTGCCCGAAAGCTGCCGACTGGCATCGGTCATTGCCTTAGACAAGCTCTTGATCTGCTGCAAAATAGGGCTAACAGCCTCTGAGCCCACTTTGATGTGAGCTGCTAGGCCGATAACGGCGTCACTGATCTTCGCGATCGCCACCCCTTGTAAGACATAGCAATCTTTCCATGAAGCTGATTTCGATTGCTAGGGAGTCGGCTGAAGCACACAAAGGTCAAAACCTGAGACTGGGACATTCGCTGAGGTCTACAACGCGCATGACTTTCATCACTGGCTCAATGGCTTTGTCCTGGCGAACTTGACAGTCTGCCAAAACGGTGCGAAAAACCTGCCAAACTGTTCGCGAAATCTTGCCACTTGCGTCCGTAAAGGTGATTGCAGGAATGCCCCCGAGGTTGCGGGTCTCAGCGCAAGCAGACCAAGAATAGCTGAGGCAAACAAAGTAGAACGAGTTTATTTTTGTTAGCCCGCTCGCTCTCCCCCCTCCCTACTTAATTAGGAACAAAAACCTGCTTAATTAAGAAAAAGGGGGAGAGGTAGCTAGTAGGTACAGGACGCTCCTAGGTAGGGCCCAGGATAGCTCACGCTTCTTCAAAGAAGCTCCCCCGCCACCCTAATTCATTTGGCTCCTAGATTTTTCGGAAAACTTAACTAGCTATACAGTTAAGCAAGCGGCAAATGTAGAACATGCATCTTAGCCTTTGAAGCAAAATAGCTGAGGCAAACAAAGCAGAACAGAATTGCTAGGAGTTTCAACTGCTTTTAGCTACTTATTTCCTATGCGGGTCTTTAAAACTGGCGGTTCAGCTACGCGTGAGAATGGGATTGACATTGCCGGCAGCAGGCAAAGAGCTTTGGTAAGAAGCAATGATTTCTGTATGCTTTTGCTAGCGGAATTTGTATCGCCCAGAAAACATGGAGACTTTTGACATGGACACTCGTGAACACTTGTGTGGAAAGTGTTCGAGTGCAAGGATTCTCAAAGCACCTTCAAAAGCTCAACGTGCTCTGGCAACGCTGAAAGCGCCGCTTGCAACCAAAGGGTATTGGCCACAAGTTCTCCGATGAACGCACACTTGCCTACTCGCAACAACAACAACAACAAAAACAACAACAAGTACCACATATTTGTGATATGGATACTCGTTGACACAAGTTACATGGACACTCATTGATGGTCAGAACTGTAAGTGGGTGGGGTGAGCGGTCCACCGGACGAGCACATTGGTTTGGATCTGCTTCGAAGATGATGTCATATGCATACACATGCGTGATGGTTCGCCGCGCTATAAGGCATTGGCCAAAAAGTACAACCTGCTTTTAGCGCCAATGCAACCATGACAATTGTCGATTGTCGTCTTTATGTGTCTGCATGCGTCAATTTGGACATGTGTTCACCCCTGACTATCGAGAAAACTAATATGTTTTCCGAAATGTATTCAAACACAGAAAACGAACGCACCGGAGGGGGCACCTTTTTGACAATAAAATGCTGTAAGGCTGTTAGGGTTGCACCAATGATAAAAAGTGCACAAAGTACAAGCAAGCTACTAGCAACACATGACATCTTTTGAAGAGATTCAGCACACTGAGATCTTTTGCGGCTCTCAATGCAAAAATCGATGGGTTGCGATGGGGTTTGCTTTCCAAGTGTTCCAAATCAACCGAGGAAGCTTGAAAACCGAAATTGGAATTTAAAAAACATTTAACCAAAAACAATAGAATATGTATGTTGTTCAAAGGCTTCTCCTAAAACTATTTCCAAAAAGCGTGTAAAGCATCCGACTGGGAGGCGTTCACCGCCTGAGCAAATAGCACGTCCCCGAATTGAGCTAAAATGAACTCATTTTGAGTGCACTTTTTGATTGAAAATATGCGCTTTATTTTTGGAGGGAGGGTAGGCCGAGGTAGGTAGGTAGTAGAAGAGAGGTAGCTAGTAGCTAACTTGTTAGCTGCTACCTACTGGACGCACGATCATTCACGCTATTCATTTGGTTCCTAGATTTTTAAGGAAACTTGACCTTTAGACCTTTCGACTTAGCATATAGTTATTGATCTTAGCTTACTAAATAGTCCTTCGCGTAACGACAATGACTTTGCTTAGTACTTAAGTTTTAAATGTCTGAACGCGGCATTGTCTGCTGTCTGGAGTAGAACGGCAAAATCTATGCATGTCTGTCTTTTCAATGCTGGTGATTCTGTGTTTTCGCCGAAATGTTCCGTTCCGTTCCCGACTTCCAGGTCACAGCCTACAAACGCTGTGCCGAAGTCAAAGTTGACGTCCGGAGTGCCATTTACGTCTGTCAGCAAGCCTCCAACCTAGTAGCGATGGCCTCCAACCTAGTAGCTATTCGCTATTCATGGACACTTGGCTTGAAGCGTTGCCTCGACGTTGCTTCGATGACAATGTTTTGTCAAACAGACTTCATGCGCCATCCGAGCCCATGACTGCCAGGTTGGCATCGAAGAAGGGCAAGGAGACCTCCATTTGTGCTGACCCATCGTTAACAGTCAATTACTGAAGGCTTCAATGCAAATATCGCATATTCTGTTGTCTGCTGGCCTTGTTGGCTACAAAGATGGCCGCCTTCGTCGTATGAAAACGGTCGTCGTTGTTGCGTTGTTTCTTCATGCTTTCTTCGCTTTCACAAGCTGGTTGTGGCTCACCAAGGCGGAGCTGCAGAGAGGCAACACTGAGTTGGGCAAGGCCAACACCTGAACGCGAACGAAACAACGAGAGAGTGGAACTTCAAACAAATAGAAACAGCAAAGAAAAAACAAGATGGAGCCCACGAACCCGAATGCAAACACGTTCAAAAAGCTACATATGTCCAAATGACACTCTTGTAGGACACTCTTGTGGGACACTTTTGTGGGTCAATCTTGTGTGACACTCTTGTAGGAAACTCTTGTGGGACACTCTTATGGAACACTCTTGCAGGACATTCTTGTGGGACACTCTTGTTGTGGGACACTCTTGTGGGACACCCTTCTAGGACACTCTTGTCGCTCACCAGCGACCTGCCGCGTTTACACCAGCATGTTTCGCGCTCCCCAGTGGCACGGAGCCACGGAAACGCACTTCCCACCAAGGCCGCGCAAATCCGCATGGCACTGCGACATCACAAACGTAATTTCGCCACACGGTCTGCCCACACACTAGAAGCAAACATAGCACATGCTCCCACCAATCATCCCGCTCACCAGCGACACGCTGCGTTTACACCAGCCTGTTTCGCGCTCCCCAGTGGCACAGCGCCACACAAACGCACTTCCCACCAAGGCCGCGCAAATCTTCATGGAACTACGACATCACGAACGTAATTTCGCCACAAGGTCTGCCCATACACTAGAAGCGTTTCGTACAAGACGTCCTCCAAAAGTGAAGCGCCAAGTCTCCAAAACGAGCGTTTCGTACAAGACTTCCTCCAAAAGTCACGCTTCGAGTCTGCAAGACGAGCGTTTCGTACGAGACTTCCTCCAAAAGTCATGCTTCGAGTCTGCAAGACGAGCGTTTCGTACGAGACTTCCTCCAAAAGCCATGCGTCAAGTCTCCAAAACAAGCGTTTCGTACGAGACTCCCTCAAAAAGTCAAACGGCAAATCTCCAAAACGAGCGTTTCGTACGAGACGTCCTCCAAAAGTCAAGCGGAAACACCCATCGGAGCACACACATCACGCAGCCCTGCCAAGCAGTTTCGCGATTCCAGGCCTTCCAAACAACACCCGCTCACACGCCAATCCCAGTGTCACAGCGACATTCACCTCTACAATGAGAGTCCCCCTAGTTACAATAGCTAAAACTTGAGTTATAGCACTTACTGAAGTTAGAAATAAGTTATAAGTAAGTTATGTGAAAGAAAGTGTAAGTAAGTTATAAGAAAGTTGAAGAAGTTATGAAAATTGTTTAACTTGTTTGTGTTGCAAAAAACGGCAGACAACCGCCGAGCAAAAAACACAGAGAACATTGAAAACACAAGGGTTGTCATATTCTGGGCAGACAACCGCCGCAAGTCCACGGCCAGTCGCACTTTTTTGTCGTCTTCGTGACACCACCACGCCCTCAAGTCTGGAAGGACAGTTTCTGAGCCCTCAAAAATTTGCCATAGATTAAAAAGAAAATTTGATGCCAAGCAGTACACGCGGATACGCAGGGATACACCGGGATACACATGTATCCAAATGTATCCCTGCGTATCCCCTCATGGTACACAGGGATACATTTGGATACATGTGTATCCCCGTGTACCCCTGTGTATCTCTCTGTATCCCTGTGTATTCCCTTTCGCATCCCAAAATTGATCCGTGCGTCTATACAAAAGCGGTTTCTTTCCACACAATCTTGCATTGAAGAGAAAAGTACTGGGCAGAACAACCGCCAAAATATCCAACGAACTCTGCACAACATGAGCACTCATCAACCTTGTTTGTGGATAGGCATCTTTTTGGCACAGGTTTCCAAAATCACCAAAAACAATCACAAAAAACTAACTTCCGTAACTTGTTTCTAAGTTCTGCAAGCTTCAACTTAGCATTTGTCATAACTATGTTAAAAAATTTCATATGTTTTTGAACTTACTTATATCTGTGTTATAATTTCCAAATAACTTATCGAACTTAACATATGTTATCCCTATTATAACCTTTGTTGAGGAAGTTTTTAACTTCATCAACTTGGGGGGACTCTGGGTGTACCGCAACTCACAACCTCACGATTGACGAACCTTTCCGCGTCCACATGTCTACCGCGCACAAGGTACTGCGCCTGCCACGAAATGTCACCTCCGTCACACCTCGCAACCTCACGATTCCCTGCGCCTGCCACGAAAATCGCACTTCCACACCTCAAAATCCGCACACGGTACTGCGCCTGCCACGAAAAGTGACAATATCATGTCATGTGAGCTTCAACAAAATTCGCGCCACACCACACGTTTGGAACGATTTCGACCCGTCCTGAGCACTCTCCCATCCACCAAAATCGCAGCTGAGACTTGTCACGAAAACAGATCTTCGACGCAACACCCTGAAACGCAAACCCCAATGGCACGGCCACATCCAACACCCCAAAAACACCACTCTCCAAACGCTAATCCCAATGGAACTGCGCAGAAAATTGCGGATCTCACAAAACGCTGCGCCTGCGCAGTGAACTCAACCTCCATACTTCAACATCTTGCATTTGCACACGTTCCCACGCTATTTCACACGAATCTGACACGTCACGTCTTCATCCGAAACGCTCTCCAAAAGCTTTCTCCAATGGCAGCGGCCTTAGCGCCCTAGTGCGGTCGGCGGCGGACGGTTGCGGACGCTGAAACAACACGTCGCGAACAAGGCTCTACCCCCAGCCCCCCAGAGTTAAAAGAGAACCCTTCGCTACGCATTTGGGGACTAATAGATAAAGGAATGAACAAGGCTCGAACGAAGAAACACACAACAAGACTCAAACGTCGCCTCAAAAACTGTGATGGCCATAGCGAAGGCGCGGCACACAGCCGCACAAAAAGCAGAGGCGCCCACTATAGCACAACCTGAGAATTTGTTATGCTCTCAAAGCACTTTGAGCACTTTGTGTTGGGTTGGCATCTCCGAGAAGCGCAAAAAACATGGGGGAAGGCAGTCACTGCGTCAGCTTGGTCTTCAACGGGCCATGAAGGCTCCTTTCTGCATCCCAGTTGGAGGTTGGCCTGCAAAGGCCGTTGTAAGACTGCAATCCACTTTGCGCTGCGAAAACTGACGAACCCGAGAATCGGTCCGAGAATCTCTCACCTTCTTTGGTCAGAAGCATCTCCACAAGCCAATCAGGCCTAGACACCAACGGGTCAAGCCACAAGTAACCCGAATTTCTCACGAAAATGGTCTCTCAGACTATCACAGAAGCACGTGGCCAAAGACGCGCCCAAGTAATCCTCCAATGATCATGGTAGGAGCCACCACCTGACGGTGATAAAACGGAAAATACCTCGGAAAGAAATTGTAATCATTGAGTGCGTTCCAGCTTTGTTCGTTGTTGATCAAGTGCCTTCGCTCAAGTGAGCGAAGATAAGGGTTTCCAGGACCCCTTCTGCTTTCAAGAGTGTTTTTCAAGGGAAGCCCTTACCTTCTGTGCTTCTTGATCACAAAAGAAAGCACAAAACGACACACACAAACACCACACACACACACAGAGACAGCGGAACAGCACTCCACAGCACTCTGCAGAGGCCCTCGCTCCTGCGGGGATGGCAGAAGACAAGGCCTCGACGCGCAGGCAGTCCGAAGTCCGAAACGAAATGCGTACAAGGAGGCGACCACTAGTAGGTTTGAGGCCATTGCTATTAGGTGGGAGGCCATCGCTTCTTGTGGATTGCCCAGAGCGGCGCGGGCAACCAAACAAAGAATGCGCTTTTCCGGTGAAGTGCCCCTCAAGCCAACAGGTCAACGGTAAATCACCACTGAGCAAAGGTGGCAAAGCAGTGACGCCTGATGCAACCAACGGGAACCCACATTCACAGCTCCCGAAATTCTTCTTGGTCGCAATCAGGTTTATCACCCCACACTTCAAAGCATGCCCTTTCTTCTTCGTGAAAGCATCCACGGCCATCTGTGGATGGGAGGCCCACCATATCTTCGTCCCAGCTGCTAGGCGCTGTCCCACGATTTGCATCACCAGCGCTGTTCTCTTGTCGCTGTCATGCGATCGTACAGGGACTTCGCGTCCACGATCCCCACTCCTTGGCGCAGTTCCTCAGGCGCTCTTCACTCAGAGCCCTCATAGTCGCTTTTGCTCCTTTGTCCTCCTCCCATTGCTTTATCTGGAAGTTGGGCTCTGTGAGTTGGTGGAACACAGCTGATTGTCCACGAACGCTGCGCCATTCCTCTAAGACAACGCTTGTGTCTCGGCTGCCAGCGTTGAATTCACCACGCGGCAATTTTTGCCGCTCTGCAAAGTAGCAAGTTACGCCTGCCACGTGCACATTCTTCTCCATGGTGACCACGGCGCAGGCTCCCATGTGATCTTCCCTTTGAGGCATTGGCACATAGCTTGCGTCGCAGTAGACGCCCCAGCCGATAAATGCCAGTGGATGGGCTGAGTCCGAAGCTGCAGGGCAGCATGCTCGAACGTTCTTAATGCGCTTGCTGAGATCAAAAATTCGCTGGACCTTTAGCTGTGCCAGTTTCGACGCAGTGAGACTTGCCACAGCTCTCTGCTCTTCCCTCTTCGGCTGCCCACGTGAGGCTGCCAACAGCAACGATCTGGCCATGGGGCTCTGCCAGATTCGAACTTGATGAAGCCTTTCCGACGTCGATCTGGGTCTCTCCAAACTTGCCAAATTGAAAGCGCTCTCTCAGCTGAAAAAGTTTGGGTTTCCCACGCCAAACAAAAATCAACTTCCACCACTAGAAGCCCTGCCAAGGTGCCTTTGTGAAACAGATTGTAAGCACGGGGGTTGCTGGAAGCCCGGGCAAAACAAAACCTTCTTGAGACTCTCTCGGCAGTGAGCTGGTGCATCTCCCAAGCCATAGACTCCAGCTAACAACTCCACGACCTCTGGGCTGTCGACAGAACAGCCTGGCAGAAGCTCGCTTCAACTTATCCGATTGCGTGAACGCACTCGTGAAATCTCCTATGGTGGCGGGCCATTGGCGCCTCACGAGTTGTAGCAGATCGGGATCTTGGTCACCCTGAATGCACCATCTCAAATTCACCCTCAAGCATCTCTTTGGCGTCAGCTTCCTCCATACGTTTCCTCCTTCTGTCACAATGACAATGCCAGGATTCATGTTGGGCGTCTTGCTTCTTTGTCCTCAAAGCTGTCATGATGCCTGGCTCTTTCTCGTTGCAAGGGAACCCGGTACACATAGACAACATCTCCAGGGTTGAACTGTTTTTTTGCACGGCCACACAATTGGTATGCTTGATGAAAGCTTGCAGTGCCAAGTGTCTTGTTTCAGGCAGCCTTCGAACTTATCATCTGAACCCAAGCTGGCTGGAAGCCTCACATTCTCGCCCAATTGTCGTTGCGCCGGACTGAGGCCGCTTCGGTTATACAATCTGTTCTTGGCCGCTTCCAGTGCATGTATGCACATCTTTCATTCTTCTTCATCTTCATTGGTGGGCATGGCATCTTCGCATAGCTTGGAGAAGATTTCCTTTGCCAGGCCTCCATGCCTGGGCGCTCTAGCTCCAATCGCCCTCAGCACTCCAAGTTCTCCAGTCTTGTTGGCGAAGCCTTTGCCAAACTCACTATGCATTCTGGGGCGCTAAAGACTCTCACCCATGCGTTGCCACGGTTCTCCAGACACGCAACAGCTTCACACCGCGCTGGTCTGTGGGTACACAAGTGGCATGCCTCCACAACTTCAAATCCCACTCAAGCCGTTTGAGCCCTTCACCTTGACCTTCAAAGCTAGGCGGTGGATCCCTGTCCTTCCATGTGAACTGATCGGCCGCACTGGGTCGCCCATCCGAGGGCTCCGCTACCACTGCGGGTTGCCCACGGTGGCGTGGTCAACCAAACGAAACATGCCCTCTTTTTCCGGTGAAGCGCCCCTCAAGCCTTCAGGTCAACGTTATATCACCACTGAGCAAAGGTGGCAAAGCAGTGACGCCTGATGCGACCAACGAGAACCCACATTCACAAGTCTAGATTGGAGGCCATCGCTTCTCGGTTGCAGGCCATCGCTTCTAGGTTGGAGGCCATCGCTATCAGGGTGGAGGACATCGCTTTTAGGTTGGAGGCCATTGCTATTGGGTTGGAGGCCATCGCTTTTAGGTTGGAGGCCATCGCTATTAGAAACAATGAAAAAAACAGAGGGAAGAAGGGTCTAATGTAGAAGGGTCTTTAGCCGCTCCACCTCTTTCAGGATAGATCACAACGTTCCTGATCTTCCACCACGTCGAGTGCAAAAATGTGAAAAGGCGTTCGGTTCTGCACTAAGGGCATGGGCCCTAACACACAAAGTGTAACCTAAAGGCATCCAAGCTTTATTCATTCTCACTACCTGAGCACAGGTGCTCGTGATTGTTTCCGGTAGCTCATTTTGCAAAAAAGCATCTGATCTTACAAGCCTGGATTTGGGCGGGGTCACCCCTTTGCAAACGAAAGCACATGCACAATACCGCCAGGGCCAAGATGCTGTCACCCATTCCGTCCCTTCCGACACGCTCCAAAGAAACAGCAGATTGACCAGTCAGCGCCTCCCAGACCATTGAATTCTATTTACTTTTAATTTTTGTTTCTACTAGCTTCTTGTTACTAGTAGTAAGGCACCTGTTACTACTAGCGTGGCACTTGTTTCTACTAGCTTTTCCTTCGGTTATTCAGGACTTTGGACCCTAAATATTTGCTGAGAGGAGTAAAGGCATTGCATTGCATTCCTGTTTGGTGCTCCGAGCGAGCGCGCGAGAGAGAGAGAGAGAGTGAGAAAGAAAAAGAAAAGTAAAAGGAAAAGGAAGAAGAGGAAGCATCAGCTGCCGTAAGAAGCAAAAACAAAGCGGAAGAAAATGACAGGAGAGGACAAGAAAAGAGAGAGAGAGAGATATAGAGATTTAAAAAATACATATATATATATATATATTTGGACAAGGTACCGGTACATCGACAAGAAGCGTCGCAACATGCACATGTTCGGCCTTCCAACTCTTTAAGACTCTGAGGCAAGCTGCCAAGATTGTCATCGTCCATTTCATTAGAAAGCCTGAGGCATGCTACCGCAGTCACCGACCACCATTTAAACACGACATCTCTTCGGGGGTGCTACAGCTGCTACCCCCAATTGAAGCTTGAAGTTCTTTTAGCCGCAGTTTTCTCATCTGAACCATGTCAAGCCATGATTCTCGCCAAGCGACAAAGGCAGATGGTTCCAGTGACACCGGCCCAAGGCAGCACCTTACAGCGATTGGAAAGCAAAGAGAACTCGATGTAGAACTTGAATATGGAGGTGGAGGTGCAACCAGCGAACTACATGGATTACATTTCGTTCAAGGGCGAACATTGGTATTCACACGAAACCCAGACGACTGGAGGTAATTAGACGTGCACTAAGCATTAGGGAGCGCAACAAAACCTTGCGCCTCCACTCAAAACGACGTTTTCATGGCTGGGTAAGAGGTTTCCTTCTGTGTGGGGTTGTTGCTTGTGGTTCTCGAACCATGACACTCTCTTTGTGACACACGTGCTGATGCGACCTTTCAACGGATCAGGTGACACAGACTGGTAGGAGGCCATCGCTGTTAACTTGGAGGCCATCGCTACTATGGTGCAGGTCATCGCTACTAGGGTGGAGGCCATCGCCATTAGGATAGAGAAAGCACACGGCCGGCTTTGCACGTGTGCGGAATCAGTCAGTTTCCCTGTTGAATAGAAGTGATGCCCTTTGCTCCCAGTAGCTCTTTGCTCCTAGTAGAAATGCCAGGAGCTACTAGTAGCGTCCTTGCTACTAATAGCGATGCCCTTTGCTCCTAGTAGAAATGCCAGGAGCTACTAGTAGCGTCCTTGTTACTAGTAGCGATGCCCTTTGCTCCTAGTAGCTTTTGCTTCTAGTAGAAATGCCAGGAGATACTAGTAGCGTCCTTGTTACTAGTAGCGATGCCCTTTGCTCCTAGCAGCTTCTTGCTCCTAGTAGAAATGCCAGAAGCTACTAGCAGCGTCCTTGTTACTAGTAGCGATGCCCTTTGTTCCTAGTAGCCCTTTGCTTCTAGTAGAAATGCCAGGAGCTCCTAGTAGCTTTTTGCTCCTAGTAGAAATGCCAGGAGCTGCTAGCAGCGTCCTTGTTACTAGTAGCGATGCCCTGTGCTCCTAGTAGCTTTTTGCTCCTAGTAGAAATGCCAGGAGCTACTAGCAGCGTCCTTGTTACTAGTAGCGATGCCCTGTGCTCCTAGTAGCTTTTTGCTCCTAGTAGAAA